CTTCATTTACCTCTTCACTGTACTCGGTTATAACGGAAGTGCCATCTTCGTCGTCGAACACGTCTGGTTCTATTGTACTTATAGAGTTTATTTTGCTAATCATTTCCAACAACATATCCCTTGTCACGAAGTAAGTCTATTGATTATTGATTTTAACATACGTTATTATCGAGTGCGCAATTTATTATGTTATTTAAATTTTTATACAAATGCGTATTTTACCTCCGACAGTTTCGGTGCAACCAAAGGCAAGAGGGCGCACAAGCATCGGACTTGAACTTCACAACTGTGTTCATTCACCAGATCGTTTACAAAGGACCATACTATTTCTTTGGGATAAACTCCGAATTTGAAAAGTTCGCCTATGAACCTATAAAACGGCAAAACACATAAATAATATGGAAAATAATGTAAAACATTCTCGGTGTATATTATATTTCTAAATGTTGACAACTTACTGACAATTCGTTACGAATTCATTGATCCGGCGTTCCGAGTATTGTCTCGTCTAAAAGAAGATTATAGAGTATTTTTAATATAGTTTTTATACGGGAATCGGAATTTAATATAAGATTTTGTGTCGGTACCCAGTGGCCGGTGTTGTAAAAAATAATTTTGAAAATTATGTGCGGAAACTATTTTAGACACTTATACTGAGACTCAAAATTTATTCCAATATTTATAAATAAACAGTATTTTAAAATACGTATTAAATTCTTGGAAAATAATTGAAATACCAATACACTGATATACTTTTACTTAAATGCTTTATAACACTGTCGGTACCTCGGATATCTTGCAACATTTTTTAAGATCATCGTAACATTTTGGTAGCAATGCAGTTTGGAATGCCGGCCCAGAACCGGGTCGCGCACCGTCAAAGCCGTCCTTAATCAACCTAGCGCACATTGCCGCATACAACTTGATATATTTCGGACGTGCCAAAGCCTAAACGGGACGTAATACACGCGACATTACGATCTTGAACACGTTTAAAAATATCCGTGTTCGATATTTATCATCTATAATCGTTCTTACTTTAGAGTGTATTTCACCGGCGACGACGTTTAAGTGACTCCTTTTTGTCACTGGCAGTGCTCTAACTTTTCTATACATAGCATCATAATTCTCAGGGTTCAAACCGTACACGGCCGAACCGACAATGTGAGCGATTCCCTGTGAAAAATAAAATCCGACGGTCAAAACATATAAATGTAAACGTGTTTTATATTCCGTAGTTTATTAGTCGGTACTTACCAATGTTTGAGTCATGATGAAAGCTACAAATGAAAGATGAAGCGTGAGAGCTGTATGTAGTACACGGTTTTTAAATAATTTGAAACTGCGTGAAGTTCGCGAATTAATAAATATGAAAAAAACCGTGAATGAGCAAGAATAGTGAAAACGAGCGCTTTTATAGGGTCGAGGAGGTAAACAAGAAAGCTGTTACCATCACGGTTAACAATATTTATTTAAAACGTCGTCATGTGTCAAATTTTCGTTCTGAAAAAACAATTGGTGCATTTTATTTTTTATTTACGAACATCGAATCTGAGCAAAGTCCGGTTAAAATATTATTTTGCAAATGCCGCGATTATTAGGGTTCTTATTATTTTACTGTAACGTTGCGAGTGATTGGGTAGAAATGTAAGAACGTATTTCCTGAGACTGAAATTGTGAATAGAAATTTCGACACGCGTTATGTAATACGAAATCGTTTTGAATTATTCTATAAAAAGAATAAAACTAATTCGCTAATTTGGTTCCTTTGAGAACATTTAAAACAACGTCTATGAGCGTAGGCCTACTGATCTGTAGTAATTAATTATTTATAATTATATTACACACAAAAAAAAATAAAACATAAATTTAAGGTATATTATTAAATACAGGAAAATACATTTTTTTTTTTTATTTAAATATTATATTAAAGATATGTGTCTCTATGGTATACCAAAATTATTTAATATTTTATCTTTATCAACTTTAGTGCTTAGGTCTCTCTCAATATTAACAAACCTGTACATTTTGCTAATCTCATGCTTGTCCTAAGTCAAATCTTTATACGGTGCACAGATCAATAAGACCTCTCACAATTAGCCGAGCTTATAAGAATAGTTAATCCTACTCGAATAAGTTTAAACAAGTTTGGGAAATCGTATTCATTCACTACTTTCTTTATTCCACGTA